TCTCACCCCCAGGGATGTGCAGTGCCCCCTCCAGTGGCACAGGACCATCCCCAGACCCTTTTTGGGGGTGGTTTTCATTGCTGGGGGGCTCTTGCAGGGGCTCCTGGTGATGTCCCAGCCGAGGCTGGCCTGGATCCCGGCTCAGGAGAGGGGGATGAGAAGAAGAAGCGCCGGGGACGAAAGAAGAGCAAGTTGGAGGACATGTTCCCCCCGTACCTGCAGGTGGGACGGATGGAGGGGCTTGGAATAGATGAGGAGATGGATAGGGAGACCCCCACATGCTGACAGAACCCCCTCCCCAATTGCAGGAGGCGTTTTTTGGGAAGGCACTGATGGACCTGAGCCGCAAGGCGCTGCTGGCAGCAGGCGGGGTTGGGGATGGGGCCGCCCGCCCCGCCTTGGGCCAGGGTGCCCCAAGGCCCAAGGGGGACCCCAACCTCGCTGGGGCACTGCAGGGGGGCACCCCGGACAGGAGGGAGACCCCCACCCACCCCCGAGGTGAGTGTGGCCACGAGTGGGTCTGCAGCTTAGGATGGGGGGAGTTACAGGGGTTAGCAAGGGGTTGTTGTGGGTCCCTACTGGGGTTGGGGGATCCCTGGGCTTGTTGGGGCTTGTGGGAGTTGTCCCTGGGGTTATTGGAACTTGTTGGGGTCCCCAGGATGGATGAGGGGGTTGTTCAGGGTCCCTGGGCTTGTTGGGGGCTGTCCCTGAGATTATTGGGGGTCCCTGGGTTTGTTGGGGCTTGTTGGAGCCCTCAGGATGGCTGAGGGGGTTGTTCAGGGTCGCTGGGCTTGTTGGGGGTCTTGAGGGGATATCAGAGGTTGCTGGGGTTGTTGGGTGTTGTTCCTGGGGTTGTTGTGGATCCCTGAGTTTTTTTGGACCTTGTTGGGGTCCCCCAGGATGGCTTGAGGGTCCCTGGGGATATCAGATGTCTCTGGGGTTGTTGGGATTTGTTGGGGGTTGTCCCTGAGGTTGCTGTGGGACCCCTGGCCTTGTTGGAAGTTGTTGGGGTCCCCAGGATGACTGGGAATGGCTGAGGGGGTTGTTCAGGCTCCCTGGGGTTATTGGGGGTCTTGGGGGGATATCGGAGGTCGCTGGGATTGTCGGGGACCCCTATTGTGAGCAGTGCTGGGGGCTCTGAGGCTCGTTGGACAAGGCCGAGGGCTGTGAGGGGCGGCCATCACCGCTGAGGGAAGGCACCGGGGCTCGGGGGGGATCCTGACCCTGCTCACTGAATCCTGGGCTACCCTGCAGGCGACGACAGCACTGACGGCAGCGCCGCCGCTCCCGATGACGATGGCAAGGACGACGCCAAGGCCGAGGAGCTGGGTGAGACCCCTGTGGGACCCTCAGAGCCGAGTCCTCCACGGGGCACAGGGCGCCCACAGCCACCGAGACCAAACTCTATGGTTGAGGGCTCCGCTCTAGGCGGGGCTGAGCTCTATGGTCAATCCCATGATGCCCGTGACCACCATAGAGTGGTGCTTAGAGCGCCCCCTTGTGGCGCGGCGCCTCTGGAGGCCCGATGGACTCGTGTCTCTTGTTGGGTGGCAGGGGCTGCCCCATGGGGGTCCCCAAAACCCTGAGCCGGGGTTCCCCAGGGGGCTGAGGGCATTTCTTGATTCTTCCTCAGGAGCTGACGAGCCCAAGGATTCCCCAGACCGCGGGGACACCGAAAAACCGGCCACCCCAGGCGAGGGAGCACTGAGTTCTGACCTCGACAAGATCCCCACGGAAGGTGAGACCATCCTGTGCTCCCTCTTCTGCTGAAGGGGTCCCAGGACCGTGACCCCGAGGTTTCTCTGCTTCCCATCAGTGTGGTATTTGCACCCAGCTCTTCCTGTGTTTGTCTCTGCAGAGCTGCCCAAGATGGAGAGCAAGGATGTGCAGCAGCTCTTCAAGGACGTGCTGGGCTCAGCGGAGCGTGGGGAGCAGCCCCTCAACTGCGTGGCTGCGGGGATGGAGGCCGGGCAGGACCCCAGCCGAGCACAGCGGCCCTTCCTGCAAGGAGACCTGCAGCTCTCAGGGCAGGGTGGGTGGAATTGGCAGAGCCCTCATCATCCAGGAGGTCCCTGGAGTTGTGTGGTGAAGGGCAGGGATTGTTTCCAGCCTCAGGAAAACCAAACTCACTCACTCAATGGTGCCTGTGGTGTCTGAGAGCCCATGCTCCTGGGTATTCCCTGTTGCTCTGGGGGTGAATCTAGGGAAGAATTTGGGGGTTGTGCTGTCTGGGAGTTGTTTGGACCCCCAGGATAGGCGCAGGTTTGTTCCCCAACTTGGTTTTCCCTGCAACCCCTCTTGTTTCCCTCACAGGGAGCGTTTCCCTGGGCTCACTCTCCGGATCTGTCTCCTTGGACTCGTACTCGGGGGTCTGCCAGTCCCCATTCCTCGATAACAGGTACTCAGAGGAGCTGGGGGTCCCCTCCTTGGAGGAACTGAACTGCAGGGTGCTCTGTGACCCGCACATCCTTACAACCTGACAACCTGTGATGCTTGTCTTCACTCAGGGAGCGGAGCGGCTTCTTCAGCCCAGACCACTGCGAGCCCGAGAGCCCCTGGGCCAGCAGCTCGGCCGCCACCACCCCCTCGACCCCCACGACACCCACGACGGAGGGCGAGGGCGACGGGCTGTCCTACAACCAGCGCAGTTTGCAGCGCTGGGAGAAGGACGAGGAGCTGGGTGAGCTCTCCACCATCTCCCCTGTCCTCTACGCCAACATGAACTTCCCCAACCTCAAGCAGGATTATCCAGGTAGGGCTCTGGGGGGGCTGCAGCCGCCCCGTTGGGGTGAGGGTTGGGGGGTATGGGTGGAGTGTGACTCCCCTGGTTCCTTTTTTGAGGGGAGATCCCAGCTGTTCTGCCACTGAAGTGTTCTTTAAAGTGGGTAGGGGGTCTTAACTCTGTCTCCTGGGTTGTCCCTTCACATGAGGGTGGGACAGTGGCCCACCAAGGATAGGAGTGAGCTCCTCAGGTCCGGGCTAACGTTGCTTTCCTCCCCTGTATCTGCTCGTACTGGACTCCCAGACTGGTCGAGCCGCTGCAAACAGATCATGAAGCTCTGGAGGAAAGTCCCTGCCACGGACAAAGCCCCATATTTGGTGAGTGCCAGGAGGTCAGTGGGGTGGTGGGGCCGGGGCACCCGGGGGGCTGCAAGTCAGCTGGCTTCGTGTCTTTGTTAGCAAAAGGCCAAAGATAACCGG